GCATCAACACAGACAGACAGGGCTGGGAAAGGACACTCATGATAGTAACACACAGAACCACTCCTGATGTTCCCAGATCAACGGTTTCAAAATAACGGATAACCTGAAAAGAGCTGCAAGCTGCAAAACAACAACCACAACGGCAACACAAACCACAGGCCTGCTGCTGCTACATGATCACACACATGCAGCGCTGCAGTAACACTACACCAGGCCGCACTGACTCACAACACACCGAGATCAAACCAGGACCAGCCAGGCCAGGAAGATTAAAGGCAGGAACCCAGCAGGAGGTACACATCTGATCTGAGGGATTAAAGCACAGGACTGAGGCTGCAGAACCACTCGTTTAAAGGACCAGAGAGTTATAGTTGGAGGAAGACGGGCAGATTTCACCATCATCATCATCATCTTCAGACATTAAAAACTGAGCCTGATTTATTCCTACAGCACACCAACACTGCCTCAGCAAGCAGGGACTGTAACATGTCTGCAGCAACAGGCGTCGGAATTTCAAGTAGGGCTGCAGCCTTTGATTGTTTTGATTATTAACTGATCTGCAGATTATTTTGTAAATTACAAATAGCAGAAAACAGTGAAAATGTCCCGTTTGTGGATATGGTAGCTGGATTCTGCGGCGTGTAAACGGGGGGAGTGTGAGGGCTGAGGGGTGTGTCAGTCCTGACTTTACTGTGATGTTTGGATTAAAGCCTTTCACTGCTGTGAGAAGGTAGAAGTGCAGTCGACTCCTGACAGCTGCTCCATGTGACAAACACCATCACACCAGTGTTCTGTAAAAATGCAATAATTCACTTTTGATTGCAGACATTTAAGAGGTTGGTTTGAGAGTCTGCAAAACCGTTAAGGGTGCATGAATTAGTCCAAACATTTTGAAATTAGTTTGCATTTGATCATTTCCAGTTCCTTCGTCTCGAAGAATGTGTTTTTGTTTATTTTCCCAAAATAAGGCTGTTTTTTGTTCTACGGCATAACATATGTCAGTGAATACCCTACCTGGGAATGTCTGAAGCTTTTAAAACCAATGGTTGCTAACACGTCACTAAATGAGACTACTAAACATCAAATATAAGCCGCCTTTACGTCACAGTTGCACAACTTCACGTCACCTCGCTAAGCTAGTTTGTTTTTAGCCTAACATTAGCTTTTTACTTCAATCGATTCCTTTTACTATTCATAAATTATAGAGCATTGTTAATATGTAAATATTACTATGCTGAACAGAACATGTAAGTATCATAAACATGTGTTTGCCACAGATCTTATTTTCTGCAATATTCAAAAATCCAATCAAAAAATGCCATTGCTTTTAGTGGAGTGAGCCCTTGCGATGCCAACTTCAAGGTCTGCTACAGGAAACATGTTCACTGCACCACTCTATAGTGAGGCGGGAAAAATACAACTGCCATCACTTTCAGGAATTTGCTATATTCATCATTCATTTATTTACCCATTACCCATTTTTTTCTGGAGAAGGTAGGCAAGAACTTCACTACAAGCAACAGCTGATTTGTTTTGAGGTGAGTAACATGTTTACCTTGAAAACGACCTGAAACAATAAATAGATCATCATCATAATTACTGATTGATTAATTTACTGTAATAGATAGTTTTAAAGCAAACCAAACCTGCAATCATGAGCAATCATAAAATCTCATCTCTGGCACTCCTGTCACACAATCTCATTGTTGTCATATATCACATGTATTTTAAAAACAGACAATGTTCATCTCCGTTTCTCAAAGTCTATTGTAATGGTTTCAAGTGTCTAGTTTTTTCACTTCAAACACGACCAAATTCACTTAAATATGATATTAAACAGAGAAAAGGAGGGAATCTCCATATTTGAGATTAAAATTGCAACTCCTGGCCTTTTTCCATAAAAATAATACTTGAATGACCCCTGCTAGAGGAAGCCAACCCTTAATGGGGGTCACAAGGCTCTATGATTTCAAAGGGTGTAAAATAACTTTAAATAATGAGTTGGCCTAAACTTAAACAATATGCAAAAGATTCTTCCAAAATGCTAATTTTACAAACTTCCTGCTGTTATTGCATTCACTGTTTTAGTTCAATAAGTGTACATTCTGCAAGTAATTTACTGCTATGGTTGTGTGTTAAATATAATATGAACTATCCTAATGTCACTTAATGTGAGTCAGGGGGCGTCAGTCGGTTTATAGATTGAAAAAAATAGGGGTTCCCATTCAAAAATATTGGGAACCACTAATCGATTAGTCGACTTATCGTTGCATCTCTTGATGTTGTGGCGTATGGTATTGAAGTGTAGTGCTTGCTGAAGCATTGTATCGATAACATTATGCCACTCATTTGTAATAACCTGTGCAGAGACTACAGATGAACTCATCCCCCACTGTGGCACATTCTCAGGTAACATTGCAGCAGCAGGGTGTCAGTGATGTGTTTCTGAGGATATCACTGTTGTTGCTGCTTGTTTTGGCTGATGATGATGAAGATGACTATCCAGAGGTCATAGTTTACCCTCCTCCTCCTCATTAATTGGCCAGCACATACAACAGTTTATTACACCCCAACATGTTAACATATGTGCAGAGACGGCAGCCATATTGCGCCAGTATTTACAAAACCCGCATCGGTGCAAAAAAAAAAAGAGGCGCAAGCGAACAAAGGGAGAGGGGAGGGAAAGCACGGGCGCTAAGCTAGGTGGTTTGCGGTAAAACAACAAACAGGACAAACGGACCGTCAAAGGGCTCGTTTGGAGCGGCCTGAGGTCGCAGTTTCTTACCGGTACAGCAATCAGTGTCGCCGCATAATCCCGATCAACCGCCGTGGCTCCGAATTGATCCGCTGTGCCTCCGTTTGGTTTTCCGCCGCTGCGTCAAGCTAGCTGTGCTAATGAAGGCACTGCGGAAGTGAGGCGGCAGCGGCCTACAAAATAAAAGCGCGGGTTTTGCTGCAATGTAATTTACTCTACTTCGTCTTCTTGCATTCATTATTATTTACACTAAAATAATTGAAAACTGACATTGACCATTTCGGTTAGATGCTTGATAGACAATCGTTCATTGTATGGTACCTGCAAGGAATATATTTTTGTATTAGCTTGATTAGCAATCCTCAAGTCAATATGAAAAACTATCCTCACTGACTCAATTGAGATGTTTCATTCCCCCAAATACTTTTATATGTAGGTAGGCTACTCTCGAATTGTTAGACACATGATTGTATAGTTCTATTGTAGGCTATAGAATGATTGTATCTAATGAGTCATATTTATGTAACTTTTGAGAGGTACATTATTTATTCAGATAGCTTTCTACATTCTATATATAAATACATGTAACAATGTTGTGATTTAAGATATTCATTGTGTAGCACTATTAATAGGAAATCGAAAGTTCAGTGTCTATTAATTGTATATTTTCAAGATAAAACAGCCATAAAAGTGGCCTTTCATTGTGGTCAGCCAAAGGCACACTTCTGATAATCATGCTATTTGATCAACATCCTGATACCAGGATGTTACATGTTTTTTAGTTAACATTGTAGTATTATAACCTTTATTCAACTCAATCAAAGCAGAACAAAGAGGAGGAGCTCTTTTTTGCATATACTCCAAAAGACCCCGGCAGCACATCACCAGGACGGAGCTGCCATCCATGGAGGACCTCTACTCCCAGCGTCTCAGGAAGAAAGCCCACAGGATTATCAAAGACCCCCACCACCCCAGCAACTGTTCTGTCTGCTGCCGTCTGGCAGGCGGTACCGCAGTATCAGGACAAAAACCACCAGACTCAGGGACAGTTTTATTCCGCAGGCCATAAGACTGCTAAACACCTGAACCCTTTAAAGAACATCCATACACATTCATCTGTTTGCATCTTGCTAATTATTTATCTATATATCATTCCATGTACTTGTACTCTTCTTGCACTATTTCTTTTTTATTTACATTTTTGCACATCTCAAAACATTCTCTTGCACTATTTTATCTGTTTTATTTATGTCCTTTATATATTCATGTTGCACGGTTGGAGGGGCCTGTGACTTCAGTTTTTCATTGCCATATCTACACTTTAGCTAATGTGCACATGACAATAAAGCCTTGAATATTGAATCTTTTAAACAGTACAGTGTTAACACAAAGCACTCCAGTTTTGCTTTGACATTGTATTTAGGCTATTGCTCTGGGACACTCAAAAAACAAGTTAGTCTGCTTGTAATGCTTGCAAGACTAGTGGACGAGAAGCAGTGGTGTAAAGTAACTAAGTAGATTTACTTAAGTACAATTTTTGAAGTACTTGTACTTTACTTGAGTATTTCAATTTGTTGCTATTTTGTACTTCTACCTCAGTACAATTCAGAGGTAAATCGTGTACTTTTACTCCACTCCACTAACCTTTAGTTACTTTGCAGATCTGGATGAATGATGTGAAATATAATCAAGTCTTAAATCAGACTTTAGTTCCAACTGGAGTAAATTCACAAGCTACCCTGCAGTATACAAAGTCATTCAAACTAGCTGCACCTTTACCAGCTTTGATAACACTTAATTATAAAACATATCATATATATTATTCTGAAATGGACCAATCTGCACAATGACTACTTCTACTTTTGGTACTTTAAGTATATTTTGATGGCAGTACTTTTACTTGTAACAGAGTATTCCTATTCTCTGGTTACAAGATCTGAGTACTTTTCCCACCTCTGACGAGAGGTTTGGTCAGCGGAAGAAACTGCTACACTTCGCTGATATGGAACAAGGAACACATAAGTGGAAAATAGATGTTACAATGCACAGAAAATGTTAGTGCAGTTCACATGACAGTGAGCAGTTTCACTGCAGTGAATCAAATTAGGCCCGATTGTAATGTGACATGCTAATTGCCACCTATGTACTATGAAATGAGCAAATCTGTCAAATGATGTTACCATAAAACTGTCGTTGCACACTACATTGACCCTAAAGCATAATACAAATCACAGAATAGGGGTTCTTTATATATGAAACGGTTTATTCCACTTCTAACTTCACAACTCAATGTCAAAACAGAACGAAAATGATGAACTAATGGAAGATGAATGAAAGCTCAGATTGTGTAAACAGGTGAAATAATTGACTGATATCATTGTTTGGTCAAATGAATTGGCCAATGCACTGTTCTGCAGTTGAGTTAAAAAAGCACCAAAGAAATGTAAAGAAATTCAAATATTAATTGTGAATTTTTCAAGTTGGACATGTTGGTCTGAAACGTGTTAGTCAACACTTTTGTAAGTTTGGAAAATGTCTAGCATCTGACATCAAATGGTGAAAACAGAACGGTTGTGAGAGACAGAGGAGTTTCGCTGGCGGGAGTGGCAGCAGGCTCTCTCAGGGACCTCGACAGCTCCCATGGGGCTCAAAGAGATATTCTCCATGTCTCTCTCAGCACGGTGCTGGATCAATCTTTAGGCTCAGGTAGGGGTTGTTGTGGCAGCTTTTCCAGGCCTCGTTGGATGAGGAGTATCTTTTCTCAAAGTCTCCATGTTTCAGGAGTTTCTTGTTGCAGACCTACAGCGTGTATCAGAGCTGGAGGCGTCCTTCCAGGTGGCTCAGTGGTGAAGCAGTCCGGGAAACCAAAATCCCTTTGTGTCGCCCTGAGCAACCAGAGGCAGAAGAGGACATGCAGCACAAGCAGGACGAGCAGAGGAGGAAGAGAGCCATCTGTGGGTTGCTTAAAGTTATTTTAGACACCTGTCCAGGGGTATGGTGTCACTGTTGTGAACTGCTGCCCACTCCCATCTGTAAAACTTTGATTTTTTTTTTTTTTTTTTACTTTCATAGAATTACAGTTTATATCGCTTACTTCACATTTTGTATTCTCTTACATATTTGAAAGTAGGGCTCAGCTGCAGAACAGTACCAAACTTGATATAAACCACTGAACAAAACCTGAACCAAAAATGAATCAAACATTCATAAAGAATAGATGATAATATCCTTATTATAACAAAAAAGGTATTTATGTAGATATACATTGCAGCCGAACAAACCTCAGCATTAGTTTCATTCTTGATATAAAATCAATATGTCGAACCAAAACATTCCATTTATCAAACATGGAAGCTCAGCATGACAAATGCTGTACATTTGATTTTCCAGAGAAAGTACGGTTTTCTTTGGGTCCTTCGTTGAGAAAGTGGCCATAAACAGGGGGAAGTGGTCATAAATATCAGTTGCTACCAAAATATGTTTTTGAGTTGTATAGTTGAAGTTAGAAATATGAGCAACATAACCAAACATCCACCAATCTTTACAAATTCAACAATGCCATTGACTTTAAGATGAGTGAGAGCTAATGATAACACATTTCCAGGTTTTAAGCATGACTCCTGTAGCACTAAAGAAGATCCCCAATGCCCTATTAATACAGTTAGTGCAACTAGTATATCAAATCAAACGGGAATACAATTTATATTGAACTGTTTTATGTTGTCATTGGAGTAATACAAACGTACAATCAAGCTCATTTTCTCTAACCTTTGTAAAAGCTAATAAGTGCTAGTAAGCTAGCTTGCTGATTTTGCTTTACCACTGGTTACATCAAATGAGCCTAACAAGTTATTACTCATTTGGCTATAGTAAAGGCCAATTCATACTTTTCGTGTCTGCGTGTCTTTGAGGGTATGCTAAGGTCCTTGTGACCAAATAGGTCATTCGGCTTGTGCACTGGACCGTCCGATTGCAGCAAGACTGTGTGACTGAGCGTACTTTACGCGTAAAACAGCTTATGCTCCTGTTTTGTTCCACACTCCAGTCTAGCTTGTTTGCTAAGTAGAAGAAGTGAACCAACGGAGTGATTGTATTAAAGAAACGTTGTGTTAAGGCTGCAATCAACATGAACATAATTAGTCTTAAAAGGCATTCAAAGTGATCCAAAAGGCGTTGAACTCTGGCAAAACAAAGCAATATGCCTGAATGCCCTGCGGACGCAAACCCTCAATTGTACTACGAAGTGGAACCACGTGCACGTATGTGACTGCAGCAGATGCGGAAAGTATGTACCGGCTTTAATGTGTTTTCCTATGCTGTGTCAGTAGTGTGTGGTTGAAGCATTAAGCTGGTGAATTTCACTCATTAAAACTGTAAACAAAATATTTGTATAAGACCACATTTGAACTCACCATGATAATGTTATAACTGATCTTTGCCCAATTTTCATTTTACTGAATAGAGCATGAAATGACCATAGAGCAACTCTATGGCGCCACACCCCACTTGCTGCAAACAGCTAAGGTTAACTAAGTCTTCTGCCAATTTCAACAAAGATTTGTTGTTCACGAGGTTTGTGAATTTCTATCTACAACAGGATGATGTTCGGCTCGAGCCCCACTTGTACTACCAGGAACTCATTTGTAACTGTACTGCAGTAAAGCAAGCATCATCACGTATTCAGAATTTTGGCAAATCTTTGTGGATCTTACGTACTCACTATATAATTACACAACACCTTGGATATGGACTTGGACTAAATCAGATACAGCTTATCATCAAACGCATTCACAAATGGATGATGGAGAAGTAACATACATTTTGGAGATGTCAGAACAACTGTTATTCCAAAATGTTGAATACAGAGGTTGGGTCAGAATGTTGTGCAAACAGAATGATTCTAACAATGAGTCTTGAATGTCTAAAGATGTAAAGCAATTTCTATTTCTACGTCATCAATTCTATAATGGAGCTGTGTTATATTTTGCAGCAAATGTCGGCATATAACGAATAAAATATGCGCAGACAGCAGAGTAGCGTCAACAAAATGATTTGCTTGGCAGAACAGTAAAGCCATAAATATTTCGTTCTTTACGAGTGCTTTGTGAATTACACTCTTTATTCTACCAAATGTGCCCCTCAGTACCCTATGTAGAATGGAGTGATTGACACTTGAATATCAATGACATAGATGAACTATTAACACTATACAATCAACTGCTTCTTTCTGGGAAAGGAGGCAAGTGATGACAAACAAAATAACAACCTTGGTTAGTTTAGATGAACTCATCACCCAAATCATACCAGCCAAATAGGAATAATGAGATGAAGCTGTATTCAGAATCATTGAGTGAATTGAAGTTGTTGTTGACTAACATTAAGTCAGACATTTCTATTAATGGCAAATGTGCATGGCCAGATTAGCAGTACCCTAACAAATGTGTTTATTACGCGTCCTGATGTTCAGTAACAAACTTTATCTTGTTTGTGGTTGAAAGTTCAGGATCTGGTCAGTCTGTGGTGGAATCAAAGTCGTTTTTGCACTCAAGTTATCCCTTTACTTAGTCGTTCCTAGGCATGAGATCACCAACTACTTTTTTGCACCACCATGTTAAAGTCTTCTGCACCTTGTGGAATGGATCCTGTCTAGGTATGCATACCACAAGGTCCGATGTCCCGTCCTTACCTTCAACCTTAAGGACAGTTCTAGTTAGCACTTGATATGGCCCTCTTTATCTAAGAAATAATGACACAGCAACACAAAGAACACACAAATGCGAAAACAGTTTTGCCTCCATTTCAGGCTAGGAAGTAGAGGCTAAAGCGTGCCAATGCAAAATCCCAAGCCTATACAAAGAGGTCGACCACATCATGCCTACTGTAGTTTTAGTTTGGAAACAATGTCAATACAACTGTACTCGCAGACTGCTACTTGTGTTAAATAGCTGTCCACTTTCATTTTTTGGTACATTAGTTTTTTACATCTGAACCGTACAAACTAGACTTTGGGGTGAAATGTAATCTGTTACACCGGTTCAAAGTATGTGAGACCGTTAAGATAATCTGAGGAGCCAAAAAGGACAAATGTTGACCAATAGGATTAGGCAGAGGTCGAATTTATGAAGTTTTTTTAAAAAGATTGACAGATTGACTTTTGTTGTTTTTAGTTCACAACCAACCTTTCCCTAAAGTTGGTTCAGTTGCAGCTAGTAGCAACCAGGCTAACAAGCAGGGCAAAGGCACAGGGAACATCCTTGGACACATCACATTTTGATTTAGTTAATTTTTCTGATCCTGGTTTTGTTTTGTTGCCGGGTTAAGTGAATAGCTTGGATTTGTTTACGGTATTTATTTATAGACGGTGTATTACATACAGTAGATGGTGGTTGGCAAGCCCATAGTTTGGAGACACAGAAAGGAGTACCAGCAGGAAGCTAAGTGATGTACTGCTATGGACGGGGAAAGGAGCCATTTTATATATTTCACAGCCTAAAATAAAGGCCTACCAAAAAGATATATCAATCTAAGTTGTTTCATGGTACCTTGCTTTTAGGATCGCTTTTAGGCTTGCTTTTTGGCTTGCTTTGAGGATCGCTTTTAGGCTTGCTTTTGGGCTTGCTTCGAGGTTCGCTTTGAAGATCACTTTGAGGATTGCCTTTAGGCTTGCTTTTAGGCTTACTTTTGGGATTGCTTTTGGAATTGTTTTTAGCCATTACCAACGCCTCTTCTTTCATTTGTCCAAGTTTCTGGTTTAGCTCTTGGATCACGGCAGAACAAGAAGAAATCCTCGTATTTAATCGTCTGCTCTTCTGTTTTTCAACTTTCAGACGTTTGCGGCTGATGACCAACTTCCTTCCCATGTTATGAACTTTCATTTGTAATTTTCGAATTGTTATTTGTGCATCTGGAGATTTAGCAGTTTCCGAAAGGATATTCCCAAATGGCGTTTGTTCTTCTACTGTCACGTTTTGAAGAGGGGCTGTGGACCCATGACCATCTGATACTTCTGTGACACTAACACTGTTCTGATTTGTGGTCACAGTGGTGCTGCAGTTCATTGGTTCCACAACATTGGTTACGTCTGTAGATGGTGCGACTTCGCCAGGGGGGGTAGGACTACTCACAGGCTTGCAGCAGTACGGGTGATCAAAGTTGACAGTGTCAGTTATCTCTGTGTGCATACTTACCGCTTGTGTTTTGGATGATGTGTGACTAACTGCAGGTTTCTTGAATGATGTATTGACACCGGGGTAGGCAAAAATAGTTGGGACAGCATTTGAGTTCAGCAGGCTTCTCCCACAGGAAGGGTGAAAACATTCCTCTGTGAAGTGTAGAGCGCATAAGCGTGAGTCTGGGGACGGCATCCAATTCTTGCGGTTTATGTTGTGGACCCAGCTAAGCATCCTTGCCTTATCATGGTGAGGAAATCTGTGAAATAATTGTGTAATTGGTTAAGTTGTGTGAACATCCCAATGTATTGTTTAACTTCAGTTTCTGGTTACACTGAAAAAACTGAAATGTTGACTTTAATTAAATATATTATGTCAACATATTTCACATAACTGTATTAGGTTAGTTAAAAGCAATAATATTAAGTTGAACCCTATATTTGTTATTTAAACTAAATATTATTGCTTTCAACTAACCTAATACAGTTATGGGAAATCCATTGTCCAAATATTAATTAAAGTCAATGGTTCAGTTTTTTCAGTGGTTTTTTCATGTGTCATATCATTACCCCAACTTGTCAAATATGGCATCTTGTACAGCGAGTCAAAGTATGACAGTACACAGAGTTCTATTGCGTCAGATTTGGGCGTAAAGGGCTGCCAACATAATCACATCTAATAGATACACTTTCACGCAGGACACCGCTGTTACCCAAGGAAACCAAAGCTCAATATTGACTTACTTTCAGTAACACAACGTACTTTCAGACCAGTGCCCTGTACTACGAAGCCAGTTCAACAGACCCTGGATATGTTTGAGTTATCTGGCTTAACTAACCCTAACAAACGAGATCTCGCTAAGCGGTCCTACGACGCTGGTTATCAACTCGGTAAGTCAACCCAGGGTTTCTCTGTCCGGCTGAGAGCACGTTCACGTGAAAGGGGCGGGGTTAGCAACATTTGACCAATCACAAACAGGGACAAGCGTACTGACAGCGCAGCGTCAGGATACGATGAATGAAAAGTAAACTATCATGTTAGACAAATACGAAGAAGTTAAACTTTAAACATCCATGACTTAAACAGATAAACGAGGATAAAAGCCACATAGCTGCAGCTGCAAGGTGAATACAGAACAGCTGGTAAGTAATAATGTAAGTGTTGCACGGCCAGATACGGCTCGAGAAGCAGACACAGATAAGGAAATATATTATATATTATGATGTGATGTGAATGATAAGTGCGACACGTCGGCGTCTTTCCTGCATACGGCAGTTTAAACTGTATTTCCTTTATCCTGTAATATGACTTGATAGCTTTAAACTCTGCACACAGAGCTCTGATTGGTCAGCAGGCAGTGCTTTCACTGAGTTGATCTCTTATTTGGAACATAACCTGCTCCAGAGCAGGTTTGGTGTTCAGCATAAGTTACCATGGAGATCTACCCCGGTAAGAAGTGAACCAGCGTCGTAGGACCGAAAACTCAGAGTTAACCCTGAAGTTACCTCGCTAACCGCAAACCCTGCTTCGTAGTACAGGCCTCTGGTGTAACCAACCAAAATGTTGGCCCTCCCAGACGAAATCAGCGTTATTATTGTCAATGTGTACTAGGCCATGGATGTATATTAAAAGAAAGTGTGGGCACGAACGTACAGTAATTTAAATGTAAGCTGATGTGAAGAACTAACTTTGTGAATATTTTGGTCAACCCATGAGCGACACAGGCAGAAGAGGAGATATGACAGAGCATAAATATTTTACATCGCAATTCACATTTCATCTTTAAAAAAAAAAACATGCGTGTTTGAGGTAATGTTACATATTTTAATTTTTCTATGATTCAGACATGTTCTATGCATGCTAACGACTAGACTGAATGCATAAAAAAGCATCAAAATAGAGCCCCCTACAGAGGTCCGGGTAGCCTCCATGTTTATGTTGTTTCTAATATATCGCTTTTCTGCGCCGAAACCAGGACAGCATATTGGCAATACCCCAGAAAATTGCGAATAAACTTGAACTATGTTGTTTTCACATTAGTGAAATTCCAGACGCACATGACGTTCAGTTTGGGAAATGTGCTTTTAATTCATCAGCAAGATCCATAAACTGATGTGTCTGCGTCATTTCTTTTACGTTGGGCTCGCCGGCGCAAATGAAATGCTCACCCATGGATTTAAGTGTGCCACAGGGTCTGTCTGTTGGACTACCCCGCACAGTGAAACATAACGCTAAGCAGTATAATGATAATGTGTTATTATACACAAAAAACAACACAATTTGGTTTTACTATGTCAACGTTTTTCTTTCAACCTTCTCCTTTCTTAAAAGAAGCGGACGCATTTGAATAGTAAAGTTAATGAAATAAAACTGTTTTAAAAGAGTTTCCTTAATTATCCATAACACACATGGATGTGATCCTATGACCATGTGATGTTTACATGCTGCAGTGACCAAACCATTTCCCAAATCAGGATAAATAATGTAACTATATTCTAATCTAATAACACATTACTAAATGTAAAATATTAATAGTTGTAGCTAGTATTGTATTCAGCTTTCTAGCATTAGCCTACATACATATTGTGCAAATCTATAAATAAACAAATATTTGAACATACCGGAAAAGAGAAACCGTGGCTCCTTTCTCAGCTGTTCGCTTCTTGCAGTTGAAGGCAACACAAGAGGGCATTTTCAACTGTTGTGAACTTCTTGCTGTAAAGACAAAGAGGTGTACAGATGACTTTAAAATGCACTATCTCTACCATGCTTTTAATATCACAAATACAATAAAAACAACTTATGCATCACCCACTAAATTGTAAATCATTCAAGAAATCCTTTATTGTCATTGAAATATGAAGCTAATATTTTATATCGGAGAGGCTGATCGAATAGATCGATCTTAAAATCAACTTTAATGTACCAGACAATCCAGAAATGTTTTGTCAATTATTGATGCATTTATGAATAAACTGTGGATTAAAATTCCGTAAGTGACAAAAACTTGATTCAACTATTGTTATTGAACAAATGGAAGGAACTGATGAGATTACAATTCACTGTGGTTGTACCTTAATTTGTATGCCTACAGGCAACTAACAAAACGTGATGAATTGATTGCGACGTAATCACATAGTAATACAGACTTAAGTTTTGGTGGTGAAAATTAGGAATTCATTATATCCTCCAATATGTCATGCATCAAATCATCATGAAGCATAAATTAGGTAAGCATTCCTTAAAGGCCGTATATAATAAACTGTCTAATGTCATTTGGACATCTTATTTGGTGTATAGTGTAACATGTGTAGCTTTAAACATGAGCGTTTGGAATGTACACAGAAGGACAGCACAATATTGGGAAAAACTGATATTGCAATAAAAAGAATTGTGATGGCCTAAATGAGATATGGAATATGAGGTGATTTTGTAGGGGAGTGCATTATCATTACAAAGAAGCTTAAAGTTACTGTCGCTTTAGAGACATTCATTCATTTAAAATGTGAATCAGAGTTCCAGTTTAATGCTAAGTAAGTGTTAACATCTTTAATACGGTTATATCTTCGGATTAGTAAGGCACTGTTTCACAGCAAAAGTAATGAAAAAGTAAAACGTACAATTGGCCAACAAACTTTTAGGTATTATTACAGGTCCAGAGTAGTCTACTCTACAGCATGAAGAGCAGTGATTATCCGCGTTCAATGCACACAGGCTGGACAGCTATAACATTTTGACAAAGCATAACATAACTGAAATATGAATCAATAAAGTTATGAATGCTAACATTACCTATGTCCACAGATGTATGAAGAGTACTCGAAGCAGGGTTTGGAGGCGGGCTCCGTTCAATTTTATGAAAGTTGTTGAATGGCGCATGAAGCCAAAATGGCTCGACAGCTAGGGAGGATGTGGAAAAGAAACCGGAACATCCGGTGATCTTCCGCACATGTGGGCCCCATGGTGTGGGCCCACAAAGCATGCGCACTAGCACTTTCCTTAAACCCCGCCTCCCTCGGCCTGGCTCTGCTCAACTTTTAGGACCTAATTATTTGAAAAAGTTATAGTGTTCGTAATGAGGGTTGAATTTACTTCATCAAAAATATTCGCTGACATTCCTTCTTTTATAAAATAGTTATGTGTTTTTATATTTCCCAATGTAAGTTTGCCAAGCCCCCAGGAAGAGCGCCAGGCTCCAAAGCCCATTTTCGTAGTGGTCAAACCGTGGAATTACAACAACTTCTGTTTCAGTCCCTAGAGGAAATGTTTCCATTGAGTTACATTTGGAAATAACTTATTCCGTTTTGTTACATGATTGCATTGCTACTGTACGATACTGTTATACTTACTAAAATGTCATTTCATGTGTATTACTTTTTCAAATCGAAATACTGTTGCAAAAACATGATATGTTCTTGGTTAATATAGCATAGGCTACATGACATGAAGCTGGTGTGAATACTCACCTTATCTCGTGGTCACGACAATGTATCGCAAAACGGCTGTCAACTGAGTCTATTCACCCTTAGGATCGAGTTAGTTCACATCAGGAAGAATATTATTCGTCATTAAGTGATGTAAAGTGTTTTGTTCTTGTGTGTTAAATCCAAATTCAATGTTTATGAGAAGATGCAGAGAGAAGTTTTTTTTCAAGAGTCACGCTTTTATTTTAAAAATTCTAACCGGACGTGTTACTCATTATGCTGGGTGCCTTCACCTGGGTTGTTTTGCAGGTTTGAGAGGAGTCCCGCCTTTCTTCCCCTTGCTAAATAGTGATCAATCTGAATTTTGAATGGATTGGTCCGCTGCCATGTCTTCCTGCCAAATACTGATATTCTCTCTTGACCTGTTTTTCTTTTTCTCACAGACTGAGTCCTAACATCAAGATAATGCCACAATAATCTTTTGATTTTAGTGTGTTATGATATTAAAATTAACGATGCTGTCCGCTTCATATGTGGAAACAATTAAAACCCCATCTGCATTGTAGTGTGGACGATGGCCCAGCAGATGGTGCTCACTGTCTGCTCTAGAACTGATCTATGAACAGCTCGCGTTTTACGGTCATTCATTGGTTGAAGCCGGGGAAATATAGTGTTCGTTTTTCTACCAGAGACGGTCCCGAAGGGCGGTGTTTTGCATTTAACTGTAACGACGACAAGGAGTTGACTGCACCGCTCAGCCGGGGCACCCTGGTGTAGAAAAACTCGGCGACATTAGGATCAGTTACAATCAGAGCAGAGGAATTTTGGTAAAAGCAAGACGCCGAGCCTTCACGGTTTACCGCTTGCGTTTACCGGTTACAGACTTTAAAGTCCATGATAGCGCATACACGTAGTTGTAATTCACACAGCAGCGGGACACCCTGGAAGAGACGGAGAAACCACAGGAGGATGCCGAGCAACAAGGACTCGATGTAAACATTATTACGGCAAGATGTGAGATGAACCGGGAGAAAACGGCAACCGAGGCCAACGACAACATGTTGGTCCGGGCATCGGTAAGTGCTCTAGCTCGGTCGGTTTAAACTGCAGGGCAACACCCTAGCTTTAACGTTAATCAAAACTAAGCTAACCAGTTAGCTGTAACAGAAAACAATAGTCATTTGTTTGGGAGTTGTTGACTAGCTAATGAGCCACGGTTAGCTTTGTAGCAGAAGCTTAGCTAGCTAGAATGTGTGGTGCCGTTAATTTGTTCGTTTAAATCCAGTCATGTATTAAACCTATTTCACTAGGTATTATAGCCAGCTAACTCCTGTTTGCGTCAGGTAAACCATAATAACTAATAGCGCTGTTTCACGGATCCAAACGTTAGCTGTCACTCCAGAGAAAGGAAGATCAAATGCTAGGTGAAGCTTGTTTGTTCACACCTGAGGACATTTCGTTCAGCAGTCAGCTTTAGATGCTGCTGTGATTGTTGACAAATATAAACATCCATGACCCATGAGTGTGCAATAGTAGTTTATAGATATTCGTTTCGGTCCTTTTTTAGTAATGATTTCACCAAAAAATATATATTAAAAAACAATTGTATCTTTATGTACGTTTCCAAAGTACAATATGTACCTAACTTATGTCACAACAATACTTTTAAGAGACCCACCTTTTGAATTTGAATTTGTACTGAATTATATTTTATTCTTATTTTACTCTAATTGTATTCTCTTTTTTTATCCCTTTTTATTCCTGGTTTATGCAGTCCTGCGTGGGAATTACGTTTACTTTTTAATCTCAAAGCTATGTGTTACTCAAGTTATACCTTTGAAGAATGACATAGTATTGTTTTTATTTATTTTGATGTGTTTGGTTTGTAAAGCACTTTGTGTATGATAGTGCTATACAGATACAGTTTGATTTGATATACCAGACAAGCAAGATTCATCTTCCCATCATCACACAACGCTCGGGCCTTGTGCCATAACATTTCAGAGGAGCGTTACTTTGCATTACCAGTCTCTCTTTACCAAACCCTGTCCATCTCTGTCAGGTGTATGAACAATAAACCTGGGAATACTCTATATTCTCAGTAGGCCTTGCTCCTTTTGACGGGAGGTGTAACTAAAAGCCCTATGGAGCTGGAGTTACCCCCGTTATATACTTTTGTTTTTGTACCAACAAACTCAAACAAAACAAGCAGTTGACTTCAAAGGTGTAGGCTTGTTATACTTCCTCTTTACTTGTCATATTTATATCCACTTCCAACTTTTGGCTACTCAAATTCAAACTGTAAACAAAGTGTTTTTTACAGAGTAATATTCATAGCACAAATTAATCGGCTCTTTCTAATTTCCAACAACCTCTGAATAGTGCAGAGTTAACTATATCACAACTTTTTAAAGAATACAGGTAAATAATAGTGCCTCAGTTGGTTGGCAGTAGTCTGATTGATTTAGAAATCTTCCAGCACTCTACTGTAGCATGAACATTGGATTGGTCTTGGTATGTGTTTCCAATTGGCTCTTAATACATATAAAGGTGTTCCCCCATACTTTCACAAAGTATATAATATATGAAACTAAGAGAGAGCTGCACAATTTAAACATATATCCTTATGGTGATTTGTTTTGCAGTACATTTTGATGTAATTTAGTCCTTTTATGTACTGTCTTCATCTACAGAATTGACATTCTACTGTATTGTACAAGCTCATAACGTTATATGAGACACTGGCTGTCATGGAACGCATCATGGACATGACAGTAACTATGACTGCATATAGGCATCTCATTCACCCGGCTAATACAACTCTTTAACTGGACTATTTATCCTAAAGTGAAAAATGCATTCAGCTTCACATCCAAATAATCTAGAGCTGCAAATAATGATGTTATCTATCACCTTTCTGATCAATTCCCAAAAGTCAGAGTATGTTATTTTTTGCACCACTTTTTATTGTGGATTTTGTTTCCTCTAGCTTTTGAATTCCTTCTATACATGTCTTAACCAGTATGAAAACAGCGATAGAAAGTTTTTTTCTGGATCACCAACATAAGAAGAAACATTAGAGCGGTTATTATGCCTTACTGTAACCATGCATCATGTTGGAGTAAACTGCTGGTAAAAGATATTAGATCAGATTGTACAGGAAGTGAGGTTACTTCCCACAGATGAATAGTTAATGTTTCTGCCTCTCCTCTCGCTGCAGCAAGGCCGAGGCCGGGCCAAAGTGACTCATGCGGTGGTGGTGATCTTCCTGGAGTTCTTCGCATGGGGGCTGCTGACCACACCCATGCTGACCGTGAGTAAACGCATGGCAAACAACAACAAACCACAACAAAACTTCAGCATCCAGTTTCACTGTTAGTCCAGTGAGCTGGATGTTTGCCAGACGAGCTTACGGCTTGGCATGCTAACTTTTTTAATAGTTTTGAATAGGACTGATAGCCAACCTGACACAAATTAAAATGTAATACTTTTTAAATCGCCTATGACGAGTAATGACACCAGCTACCGAGTTCCCATAAGCCTGGCTTTAAAATGAGATTCTGTCCAATCCAGGTCCAAATCTCAAAATAAAAGGCCTAGACATATAAAATGCCTCAAAGCCAACCAGAAAGCACTTGGCTAAGAGTCAAAGGTGGTAGCCATGTTGATGATGATATATATGAGTAGATTGATCTTATTGTTCATATGAAAATCTGATATGTTACCAATGTGACCGTTCAGTTATTGTGGAAGCAAATGCTTTGTTTGTTGATAGCTCTAAAGAAAATTCAGCGTCCAGTTGTCTTTCGGACAAAGCACCAACTTCAAAAACGCTAGTGGAGGAAAAGTTGAAAAGCTGCTTGTTTCTGCTTCAACAAGCTTTAACAAAAGCTGTCTGTTTGTAATCTAATTAGTGGGTGGGTAGGTCAAAAAAGTGCACGCGCGTGTCAAAAGTTACAGACGGTTGATTTTCTAAATAGAAAGTGAAATGCTAAATAGTCCTTAATTGCTGGGATAGGATTTTTCATTGCTTGCTTTAGCTATTGGGTTTATGTTTTCCAGAATCAGATATCATTATTTCTTTTCAAAAGATATGAACAGGACATTGTGTTACTGTTTCAGGTCCTCCGTGAGACGTTTCCTCAGCACACCTTCCTCATGAACGGCCTGGTTCACGGTGTGAAGGTAAGACTTCTCAGACACAATCATATTAACCTCTGGAGGATTGTAGAAGCAAATACTAACAGGAGATAGTGATCTGTAATCTGTCTTCTATTTGCATGTAAACGACAAAATGGAACTTTTAAATAATAGAAACAGAGCTGCTAACACAGATATTGGCAGGGATACTTTTGTCTCCAGATTCTGATACCTCCACTCTGAACCTGACACTGATCTGATACCAGAGATCTTTTTGTCCAACATTTAAAATCTGTAAACCTCAAGGTGTGGCTCCATTGTTGTGTAAGGGATGCAACGGGGCTAAAAACTGCAGCCATCTGTGCCTAAATGAATGAAAGTAAAGAAACTGGAAGAAACCCAGCCTCTTAAATATGTCAGTATCGTAATCAAGCAATGTTACGTCCCATCTGACA